GGCCCCGTGATGGGGGCCGTGAGAGTGTGCGTGGGTGCGCGTGGGTGGTGTGAATGTGTGAGCAAGTGTGTGTGTGAGTGTCTGCCTGTGTGTGGTGAGCGAGGAATTGGGGGGAAGCAGAGTGAGAAGCGGCCTTCGGCCTCCGAGGGAGGAGGGCCTTGGTGAGGGGCCACTGCGGGGCTCCAGACTGCAGGTGGCCTGAGGGCGAGGCGTCTGTGGGTGAGGAGAGGAAAAGGGGGTGATGTGGGCCGGGCTCAGGGCAGCTGCCATCCTGCAGTCCATCCTGGATGAGGCTGTGCTGTGAAGCTCTGTGGGGCTGCGAACCAGGCAGCACCGCGTTCCTGTGATTAGGTGTCACTCAGTTTCACTCCTGAAAGCCCCCACGCTCCACCTGCCGAACTCTCCTTGCGCTCCGCAGATCTCTGGAGCTGCACCGTTTTACAGACGTTGGCATTTGATCTTTGTCACGTGTCACATCCTGACAGTTTTCAGGCTGGCCTGTTACCTAGCAGCATACACAGAGGGGTTTAGCATATCTTTTTGCGATGTGGTCTCTTTTACGGCTGAGTAATACTCCGTTCCATGAAAGTACCTCTGCTTCTCCATTCTTGGCTGCTTCTAGTCTTGGCAATTGTGACAAAGCTTTCATAAACACTTATGTACACGTTTTCCTGTAGACATTGCATGCACATACCGGAGGGACAGAGGGAAAGTGAGAAACCACCCCCGGGGATGGCCACATCACAGTCCCCCCTCTATTCTCCTCTCAGGATTTTGGGCATGCATGCATATGTTCCTGGTGTGATTTTCAAGCTACTGGGTCCGAGACTTGAACTGCAGTCAGCCATGTGGGGGTCCAGTGCTTTAACCACGACATCACCTGCTGGCCCGACATGGGCCGTCTCCTCCATTCTCCTTGTGAAATTTTGGGCATGCACATTTCTCTGTTTTTCAAGCTACTGGGTCCCAGACTCGAGCCATGGAGTTGGCCATGTGGGACCTAGCTACCTAACCACCATGCCGCAGGCTGTTCTAGTGTTGGTTGTTTTTTAAACAAACTTTTCTTTATCCACGATAGGACACATACAAACACGAGACTGAGAGTGTGAAGAGGAAAGGTTTGTCGTGCTGAGTCCCTCCTGTAGTCCCCCAGCCTGCCGACCCCTGGGACTGTGCGCCCGGCCTGTTTCAGGCTGACTGGGCTACAGCCGCCGTGTGGCACCAGCTTCTCGCAGTGGGTTATGGCTCTGCCGCAGAGCCAGCCTGGGGTTTGCACTTCCACTGTTTGAGAACTCCCTGCCACCTTGAAATGTTTCCCACGTATGTTTGTCTCTGCATTCCGATGGTGTCCTTCATAGGTTTCCATTCATCTATCCTTTTCCTTCAGAAATGGTGACTTTGGTGTTGCTTTATCTTATTTAATTCTATTCTTTTAAACCCTCTTGATCTGATATGTGTAGGTTCTTAGAATTAAGCCTTGCCATGTCAGTTTTTAAATATCCCTTTGGCATTTCAAATGAGTCAAGGAGAGTTATTGTAATTATAGAGCAAAATTGAACCTGGTGATTATAGAAAATGTCATTACGCATTCATAGAATTGTTTGCCATAGGACACATGCACTCACCAGAGATGAGAGAGAGAGAGAGAGAGAGAGAGAGAGAGAGAGAGAGGAAATGGGAAGCCACAACCCACAACCCCTGGGGGGATGGCCATGCCACAGTCCCTTCTCCATTCTCCTCTGGGATTCTGGGTGTGGGGTGCACACACACATGCACACGTGCACATGCGCGTGCGCACGCACACACACACACACACACACACACACACACACACACACACACACTCCCCTGGTGTAATTTTCAAACCACTGTCTCTGGGACTTGAACTGTGCAGTCAGCCATGTGGGATCCAGCCACCTTAACCTCCTTCCCATCTGCTCTCCCACACAGAACTTAAAAAAAATGACCATATGTATTGTTTCTTACTATTGGTTTGGAAACTAGGCTGTTGGTACATTGTAAAATCAAAATTTCGCTGGAGTTATTCTGTTACAAGTTACGTTTCTTTCAGGGGATGGTAGTAGTCCAGGCGCTCTGCAGGATGAGTGACTGGTGCAGGCCCTGCCCTTCAGTGGCCACGCAGTTTACATAGCGCCCATTTACAAAGGTTCCTCCATGCTGCAGGCATAGAGCATGCACGGGGGTTCTCCTAGTTACTCGTTGCTGTCTTGAGAATCCCATTTTCCCGTGGGCGACATGGTGTAGAGAGGCCTAATGCTTCATTTATGGCTAAGTGGGAGGGCGAGGATTTGGGCTCTGGGCATCTGGAAAAGTTCACTGCCTCTTTGGGATGGCCCTCAGGCAGCAGGAACCCAGGTGAGCGGGTCACAGAACAGCTCCCACGGTGAGTGGGGAGGGGCCTTGGAAAGCCTGCGGTAGGCGCCTGTGCACTCGGCCGGTGGTGGAGACGGACTAGGTCCCAGCCCCAGCCCTGACCTGACACGTCCCCATCTCCGTCCCCGTTTCCCGTCGTCACCTGCCGCTGAGAGGGTCTGGGTGGATGAGGGACACCTGACTGGGGCCTAGAGCATTCACAGCTCCGCTGCCTCTCCAGGCAGCAGCTGGGAGCCCTGGCACCGTGGGCTCTGCCCAGCGTTGGCTTCCTCCTTCGGGACCGTTGCCAGCTCTGATT